CATGCATTTGACTGTTGACCAGAAGTCTGGCAGTTCAAACCCACCAGCCACTCCACACAAGGAAGACTGGGCAATCTACTTCTGTTAAGATTTACTGTCTCAGAAACCCAACGGGGATCTCTATGAGTCAGAATTGACTCAATGGCAGTAGATTGGGTTTTTTAGGAGGGAGTTGATGGTTAACATATACATACCATCTTCTATGTGTAGTTGAGGAGCCCTGGAAGTGCAGGGTTTAAAGTGTTTGGCTGCTAAGCAAAAGGTTAGTGGTTCAAACCCACCAGCCACTTTACAGAAGAAAGAGGTGGCAGTCTGCTTCCATAAAGATTTACAGCCTTGGAAACCATATGGGACAGTTCTACTCTGTCTTATAGGGTCACTATGAGTTGGAATTGATTGATGGCAATGGGTTTGTTTTTTGTACGCATAGTTAACATTTTAAGCATTTTAGCTATTTATACCACCACCCATCCTTCACTTTGTCATACTGTGGTGGCTTGCTGTGATGCTTCAAACTATGCCATCAATATTTCAAATACCCGCAGGGTCACCTATGATGGACAGGTTTCAGTGGAGCTTCTAGATTAAGACAGACTGGGAAGAAAGACAGAAAGTCAGTGGTTCAAACCCACCTGCCACTGTGTGAAAGAAAGATGAGGCAGTCTGCTTCCATAAAGATTAACAGCCTTGGAAATGCAACAGGAGTCACTATGAGTCAGCATCGACTCAATGGCAGTGAGGAAGAAAGACCTGGCCACCCACATCCATAAATTAGACAATGAAAGCCCTATAGTAGATCACGTTATAGAATTGTTGTTATTGTTGTTGTTGTTGTTGTTATGTGCCGTCGAGTCAGACCTGACTCATAGCGACCCCTCCTTGGGTTTCCGAGGCAGTATCACTACGGAAGTAGGATTGCCCAACCTTCCTTCCGAGGAGTGGCTAGTGGGTTTGAACCGCCAGCCGTCTGGTTAGCAGTCAAGTGCCTTAGCCACTATGCTACCAGAGCTCCCACATTATAGAATAGTGATGGAAAATGATCCCTTAGGTTGGAAGACACTCAAAATACACAGTGGCTGCAACAGTGGACTCAGGCACACCAATGATCATGAAGGCAGTGCAGGATAACATTTCATTCTGTTGTACATGGGATCACCATGAGTCAGAGCTGACATAATGGCAACTACCAACAACAGGTATTTGTAAAAAATGCTTAGACTGACCCTGTGAAGCAGGTACCACCGTTTTCATCCCATGTTATGTTGATGAAGATAGGGCAAGAAAGGTCAAGCAACTAGCCTAAGGTCACACTGCTAGTGAGGTCACACTGCTAACAGGCATGTCAGGAGCTGAGCTAAGATGATCCAAGTGTCTGGCCAGGAGCCAGGTGCCCAATGCATGCTGAGAAGTGTGGTAATGAATGGGAATACTTTCAAGGATGCTATTTGGGGAGGCAGGATGAGGGCAGAGAAGGACCCACCATCAGCTGGTGCAAAAAGTCCTGAGGCCAATAAAACTTCCCTATGAGAGGTGAAGGGGATCTTGCACAGGGCAGGCAGGGTGCAAGGGAGAAGGGTGAGTGAGGATGAGGGGAGGGAAGGAGGGAGTTCCCACTTTCTAAGCCTTCATCTAGTCACATTTTATCCTTACATGTTATCAGTGAAGAAACTGAGAGAGAGGAAATGCTTTAGCCAAAGTCACACAGCAAGTGACCAGCTTCTGGATCCAAACCCCAACATGAAGAAGGCCATCCTCTCTCCTGCCTTTTCTCTTTCAACACTCTGGGGACCCAGAAGCCATTGAATCAGCTTCTGAGTATAGGGGGAGCTCACACTCTGGTGATGGAAAGATGATCAGTACTGGGGGGATGATAGACATGAAAGCCTGATGGGAGGACTTCCAAGAGGCACCCACTATCAACCCACCAAGCCTGGGTGTGTGGATTTTGGGGTGGCCTTTCAGCTGAATGGAGGCAGGTTTGCAGAGGAGAGCGCTATCAGTGGTGATCCTCCCCCCATGGGTCAAAGAAACTGAAGACCATCATGAGTCCATTCATAATGACAATTTTGGAATCACTAGTGATCTCGGCCAGTCCTTGGGTAATACAAATGGTTAGCACACTTGGCTACCAATGGAAGTTGGAGGTTCAACTCCATCCAGAGGAATCTCGGAAGAAAGGCCTGGCAATCTACTGAAAGATCACAGCCATTGAAAATCCTGTGAACCACAGTTCTACTCTGACACACATGGGGTTGCCATGAGTCAGAATCAAGTCAACAGCAACAGGCTTTTCAGTCATGTTGGCCAGAGCAGTGTCAGGGAAAACGGATGCAGGGAAAACAGTACAGCGGACAAAATATAGGAGGAAGGTCAGGTGCAAGGGAGAAGGGTGAGAAGATCAGGCGTGGGTTCCAGGGCATGGGAGCAAGAGACCTCTTGCTCTCCTAAAAATAGATAGCAAGTTAATAATAGGAGAAACTGGGTGTGGGGTATATGGAAACTCTCTGTACTATCTTTGCTATTTTTCTGCAAATCTAAAACTGTTCTAAAATTAAAAGTTTATTTTTAAAAATAGATGGCAAGAGGTGAGAATGGGTGTGGTTGGAAAGAGTTTGCAGGTGGCTGGAATTTGAGGAAGGGTGTGCAAGTCAGGCTTGCTTCTGTTTTTTGGATGTGAAGTAGAGCAGAGCAGGAGGCTGGGGAGAGGGCCAAGGAGGGGGAAGTGGGAGGAGTTCTAAGCTGGGACAAGTCCAAGGAAGCAATAAGGAGCTGAGACCGGAAGTGCTCTCTATCTAGCCTTCCCAGGCTCCCCCTTTACCCTGCTGTGGGGTCTCCTCCTCCCTCCCAAGAATCATCCTCCTCATGGCTAATGATGGGAGAAGGCTGAGGCTCATGCCTCTTCAGGTTCCCCTTTCCTTCCCTCCCCCACCCTGCATGATCCACTCTGCTGCCTTAGCAGTCCCCATTGTACCTTGTTTCCTACTGGCCAGTTAGTCTAGGGCACAGAGCCTGGGTCTGACCCTGCCTGGGCCTCACTCCAAGTAGGGCCCATGGAGAATCTGCTAGGGATAGGATCCCATAGCCACAGTGGACATTGAGTGTTCTCTACACAAGGGTCTACAAAATGTTTTAAGAGTTCCTCCTAGTCAAGTGGTAGGAACCACTGCTGGAGATAAATGCGCACACTTTTTTCTGTCTTAGGAGCTCTGGTGGTGTAGTGCCCAAGGCATTTGACTGTTAACCAGAAGGCTGGTGGTTCAAACCCACCAGCCACTTCTCGGAAGGGCGGTTGGGCAATCTACTCCCATAGTGATATCGCCCCGGAAACCCAAGGAAGGGTCACTACAAGTCGGATCCGACTCCACGGATCCAACTTCACAGCAGTGGTTGCATTTTTTGTTTTTGTTCTCCCTCTTAAGGAGCTCTGGTGGCACAGTGCCTAAGGCATTTGACTACTAAGCAGAAGATTGGTGGTTCAAACCCACCAGCCAATCCTCAGAAGGAAGACTGGGCAATCTACTGCTGTTAAAGATTTACTACCTCGGAAAACCATGGGGGTCACTATGAGTCAGAATCAGCTTGATGGGAATGGGTTTGGGTTTTGGTTCTCCCTCTTAGTGGCGGCAACATAGATTATTACCAGCTACCAACTTCTCCTCCATATCCCAGATTAGACCAGTCCTGTGCCCTTGCCCTCCTCTCAGCTCTGGGAGGTAAGGTTTGCTTTGGTCTATCACCCTCCTCTAGGAAGATGGAGCTGGGAAGATTTGGAGGAGGTAAAAAGAATTCTGAGAGCTGTGGAGGGTTCTAAGGGTGTCCTAGCACAGAGCAGAGATGTACCAGGAGGAAGTGGCAATGGTGGCCATCCCTGCAATGGACTTCTCTGAGGCCCCACCCTCTTCTGTGCTCAGAGCTTTGGGAAATTAAGGTGCCAAGAGGCTGGCCCTAGAGTATCCTTGGAGGAGGCCTGCCCTGGGAGTCTGGGGTTAGATGCTGCTTTCAGACCTTAACAGAGGATTCCTTTGGGAGGCTGAGGCTTGGGAGAGAAAGCAAAGGATTTCCTAGGCTGGTGCCATCTGAAAAGACACAGGAAGTAGCCAGTAAGAAAGAGAGAGCTCAGGACAGGGGTGGGCATGAACACAGGAAGAGGCTGAGTATGGTGAGGGTGGTGAGCTGAGGTTGGGGATGGGACTGGCCTAAGAGAACATGGTCCCACAGGCAGGGATGAAGGGGTGTGCGTGGCAACTGGGTTCAGGATGGGAGTAGGATAGACTGGAGTGAGGTGAGTGCTGCTGGGTATAGGGTGTGGTGAATGGAGAGGTAGAGGCATGCTAAGCAAGGGACTAAGAATGGAGCTGGAGCTGGAGCTGGAGCTGAAGAGGAAAGAAATGGAGTTGGGATGCAGATGGCAGTGGATAATGATAAGGATAGACTAGGGATGAACCTTTCAGAGGTGGGGATGGGCTGGAGACCAACCAGGGGTGGGGCTGATAGGAACTAAGTTGGTGGTGACCTTTGAAATGGAGATAGTTTAACATGGACTGGAATGGACCAAGGATGAGAGTGAGGTTGGGATGAAGATCCATTAAGCACAGGAATGGGGAGGGATTGGGTCTGGACTCGAATGAAGCGGATTTGGGATTGGGACTGTGGGACTGGGAGTTGGGTAAGGGCTCGGAGAGTACAATTTTGATTAGAAGCTAGGGCTGCAGAGCTGGGTTTGAGTGTGGGGAGCAGGGTAAGCACACAGATCAGGGACCATGAGGAAAAGGGTTATGAACGAGGAGGGACGGGGCTGGGAACCTGAGGAGCAAAATAGACTCCGAAGGCTACACGCGGGACCACGAGCCCGGGGTGGGGCGGCCTGGCGCGGCTGGCAGTGAGGGGCGTGGGGGCGCCCAGGGCAGGCCGGGAAGGGGGGGCGGGCCTCCCCCTGGGCGGGCCGGGGCGGCGCTAGGACCGAGCGAGCGGAGGGAGCCTAATCGGGCGGAGCCAGCGCCCCCCGCCCCCCGCCAGCCGGCTCCCCTCCCCCGGCCGCTGGCTCGCTCGGCTTGCAACGCTGCAGAGGCTCCGAGGCGGCGGCGGCGACTCCCTCTTTCCCTCCTCTCTGTCCGTCCATCCGTCTGTGCGTCTGTCCGTTCGGCCTCGGTCCGGCCCGCAGCATGGCCGGCGTCAGCTTCAGCGGCCACCGCCTGGAGCTGCTGGCGGCGTACGAGGAGGTGATCCGGGAGGAGAGCGCGGCGGATTGGTAAGCCCCCCGCCCCCGCCCCCTAGCCCCTTTGTCCCCGCGCCGCCGCGCCTTTGTTCCCAGCCGGCCCGCCGCCCGTCAGCCGGGAAGGGAGGGGGAGACCCCGAAATGGTACCTCGGGCCGGGAGGGCCAGGGAGGGGCTGCCTTTGTGCGCGCCGGGGGGAGGGGCCGGGCGGGCCAGGCGGGGCACTGCCGGGCCCCGAGCGCCCCGAGTGGCCCCAGCCTGGCGGCGAGAGCGGCGACCGGACGCAGGCCGGATGCACGCAGGGTCCAGATGTGTGGCCCCGGGCCGCATGGTCCTGCGGGAACCCATCCCCCGCTCCCTACCCTCCCCCCTGGGCCCGAGGGACAGGTGTGCACGGGGCGGCCAAGGGCACCTTCTCCACCTTAGAACGGGCGAGGACCGGGCGGGGACGGGGCGGGGACCAAGCTAGCGGAGTCAGCACAGCCTGCCCGGCCCAGCTCGGCCCGGCCGCAGCACAAAGGAAAGCTCGGGCGGGGGAGGAGCGGAGCGGGCTGGGGGCCGGGGCGCCCCGCCCACCCGGGGGCCTCTCGGCGTTGGCCGCCCTCCGCCCAGCTACTGGCTGGAAGCTCATGGAAGGGTGTTCTTTGCCACATGGCGAGCTCGAAGTGACTCCTCTTCCCCTCCTGGGTCGCGGAGGAGGCAGGGGTGAGCCCTTCTCTCCCCGAACTGGAGGAGATTGCAGGAGGAGATTGCAGAGACTAGTCGGCTGGGTTAGAGCATGCCAAAGAGACAGGCACTGCTTGCCTAGGGGCCATCTGGGGTCCCTGGGAGGAAGCCTTTAGGCGCAGAAGTACGGAGATTACGGTACATTCACTGGTCCCCTTACAGTTGGTCCCGGTTAGCTCCTTTACCCATCTGCAAGGGGTGCTCTACTCCCCAGTGGAGGAGGGGCTGGGCTGTTGTCTCCCCTCCTCCAGCTGTTATCTTACTCTGAGCTGGGGGATGGACCACCTGCTCTGAGTCTGGAGCCCCCAGAGTGGCTGAAAAGCCAAGAGATTCCACACTTTCCCATCCAGGAAACAGCAACCCCTCCCAAGACTTTTCCTGGGACAGGTGCCTATTCTGTTCCCTCCCTCTCTTGCTTCCAGGCAGGAAACAGGTCCTTCTCCCCAAGGAAACTGAGGCATAGAGTGAGGGCAGGGCTGAGGCCCCGGTTTCTGCTGGCCTGACTCTCACATAGGGAAGGCAGATAGATAGGGCCACTGACATGGGGGGGCTGGAGGAGGGGATGAGATGGCTAGGCGCCCATGCCCATGCCACGGCACTGCAGCACTGGCGGGAAGCCAGGCCTGGAGGGATGGACAAGCAAGACAAGCTCTCGTGTCCTGCAGGTCAGCCATGGGAGAGGCCAGCACACGCTAAGCAGGCAGGAGGCCCATCCATTGTCCCAGCCCTGCCTCTGGAGGGCTGAGGTCATGGGAGGAGTTCATGGCAAGGGACCTCCTTGGCCTGGTGGACAAGCTAGCCTTAGGATGTGGGCCCGGCTTGTTAATCCCTGCACACCTCAGGGCACCCCTCACACCCTCCAGTCTGGGGAACATTGTCTACTACTACCCATCCCATTTTCCACTAACCCCCGACAAGTAGAGCTCCAGCAGCCTGGTGCTAGGGCCACACAACCACGGCTACCCCATATCCTACTCAGCAGAGACCTGGCTCCCACCATCCAGTAGCACCCATGTGGCCACGGTGAGTTATTCATCACTGGCGTGCGCCAACCCCCCCGTCTGGGTTGTGTGTGGGACACACACACAGATGCTCCCTCGCACATACGCACATTTGTTCACTCCCGAGGGCCTAGCTAACATTTTGCACAAAAGAGCCTGAAGGCAATGTGGGGGGCAGGGCAGAAGTGTCCACCCGTGCCCACCCTGCCATGCTCAACCACAGAGCCAGTGTGCAGTGGAGTCTCAAGACTCAGAGCAGACCTGCACTCAGAAGCAAGGGAAGGGATGTCTTGGTTAAAACTGTTGCATGGTCAGAGCCAGTTGGCACTGCCCTCCTTCCCCTGGCTTCTGAGTGTGTGTGTGGCAGGGCCTCTGAAATGGACCACTGAGCCCTAGCTTAGGAGCAGGGGCCAAGGGGGTCAAGTTGTGTAGTGGGAAAGGCCAGTGTTGTTCTGACTCTGACCACATGCAAGTCCTTGCCCCTCTCTGGTCCTCTGTTCACTTATGAAAGTGAAAGAAGGGATTAAGCTCAACCATATCTAGGGGAACCTAAGGGTTTTCCAGGTCGAACATTCTGCGTGTGTAACTGACCTCTAGCTCCAGCTGACCCCAGGATTGCCTGGGACCTGCTCATCCCAGCTTGCAGTTTACCCTAGTCCAGGTGGACGTAGTCCAGATCCACTCTGGCCTAGGTGGTTTCTAAGATTTTGTGTCAGTCTCACCAACAACACCTGCTACTGGTGCTGCTCTGTGCAGAGCCCTGGGACCCAGAGTCAGAGGTCTGGCCCCCGTTAAGGTTACCTTCTGGGCAGTACACCAGGGCCCAGAGCTGGTGAGAGGTATAGATTCTGATTGCCTGTGGGGGTTCACCACCTTCCCCCCACCCCCAGGATATATTTTATACAGTTTTGGGGTCTGGGAGGGTACAAATACCTCTAAATCCTTGGTGGGATATGGGAAATACCCTGGGGAGGCCAACTCAAAGCAAGGTTCCTGAGGAGCTGCTACTAAGACCTTGAAGGGTGTCCGCAAAAGGGGTGGAGAAGCAGACCTGTCCTTCCATTTAAAGGGTACCTCATGTGCAAAGACTGGGAAGGGGGGAGATATCAAGGAGCCACCTAGTATGACCCATGTGTGGAGTATGTTTAGGAGGCTGGGAGAGAAGGCAGGTTGGTGCCAAGCTCAGGGTGGAAGACTAGGGAAGGGTTTGAATTTAGGTATGGACTCAGACAGGGGAGGGATGTGTTTATAGCAAGAAAAACCTGTATGAATGAAGCTAGGCAGGGGTTGACGATGGAGGGGTCTGAAGCAGAGCAGGCCTTCCTGGGAGGACCAAGAGCCCTCAGGGAGCCTTGGAGAGGCCTGGACACCACTTTCCGGGGAGGTATGATATTTAGAGCCGTGTCTGGGAAACAAGATCCTTGCGTTCTACCTCAGTTTCTCATCTGTGGGATGGAGAGGGGCAGACCCTGCTTCTCTGAGGGCTCTTTGTTCCCAGTGGTAGGTCGGGGCAGAGGACAGGTGGTGGGACAGCTGTACTAGGAGGCAGCTGCCAGGGCTTGGGTAGGGGCAACAGTTGGACCAGGAACTCAGCCCTACAGCCCACCTGTGTCCCTTTCAGGAGGGAGGGACCCTGGAAAGGGGAAGAGCTGACAACAACTTGTACTGATCTCATGGGGCCAGGTCCTCCCTCCTCCCCTCCCCTCCCTCCTCCCCTCCCCTCCCTCCTCC